ACAGTACAAAGCATACTAACCGTACAAAATGTCACTAAAAATGACAAATAATACAAACCGAATCTATACAAACATTACAAAATAGGTCAGCAAACATCACAAATACAACACTGTCGCCGGAAAATTTCCTCGGTCGCCGGAAAACTCTCTCTCTCTCTGGAAAAGAAAGAAAGAAAGAAATGACCATGGAAATAATCCTGGATCCATTGGGAAAAATCCCCAAGAAAAGAAAGAATAAAGAATGGCCATAAGGTTCTTGGACCCATATAAAAAAATTACAAAACTAGCACCAATATTTTTGGAACGCACCCCTAAGATGCGTTTTACATGTAAAACGCACCAAACAGATGCGATCTACATGTAAAACGCATCAGAAGGGTGCAATCCATAAAATAAATCGCAACACGTCAGAGCAATTTGGGGAGGACGCGGAACGATCTTCGAGATCGTTGGATTGAGGGACGATCGGGCGGCTCAGCGCATGCCAGCGGAGCGATTCGCGCCGAGGATCCCAGATCGCATGCCAGCGGAGCAATCCACGCCCAAGGAAGCACAAATCGCATCGGAAGGGTGCAATCCGCGCCTAGGGAAGCGCAAATCGCATTGGAAGAGTGTGATTCGCGCGAGGGCAAAATTAACGCCTCGACCCTGGAGCGTGCGATCTGTTGGGTATAAATACCCCCCCCCCCCTCCCCTCTCATTTCTTCACACCACAACCCATTCTTCCTTCTCTCTCTAGGTTTTATCTCTCTAAACCCTCCCCCTCTCAAAAGCCTAGGAAATAGTGGTATGTTGGTTGCGGAAAAGTCCGATTTGCCATCAGAAAACATTTCTTAAGTTTTTTCCTCAAAACCCGCCGAGCCGAAGCTCTGTCCGAATTGCGCTGAAAAAATGGTCGATTGGTGGCAAGGAGAAGGAGTTTTTGTTGATGAATTTCAGGCGGTACGTACTCATTATTCGGGTTTAATTTTTGTTGTTGTTATAAGCTTTTTAATTAATCTATGTACTAACCTCGTTGTTATTTTCTCGTAGGTTGGGGAGGACGTGGATATTTACAACCAACGGTATTATCTCGAGCAAGGACCGTTGGATCCAACCGACTTGTACGACCAACCCAACCATCGGTCAAGGGATGTTTGGAACGCTCACCCGGTACATACAATTCTTTACCATTTGTCCTTCTTTTATTTTGTTAATGTATTTAGTGGAATATAAAATAAATTTATGTTGAATTTTTAATCGTGTTGGTTGTTTTCAATAATTTAATCGAATACATAGCGCCACTTACTTCGACTCTTTATAAAGAGATGCACGTCTAAGGAAATGGGGTTTTAAGCGATTATCATATCCTCCCATTCCCTGGGAAAATCGGGTATTAAGAGATCCTCGGATCCCCCATTTTCTGTCAACAAGACTGCGTTTCTAAGAAGATGTATACCTCTTCTAAGAGTCTAACGAGTGTTGCTTTGTATTCGATTAAATTATTTAAAACAACCAACACGATTAAATAATTTACCAAACAACCCTTACGATTTATTTTGATGTGTACAAATGGAATTTTATTAATTTCAAACAATTGAATATGTATGTTTCTCTTTAAAATATTGATTCATTAACAATGTCATTTAATTTAGTTAATTTAGTATGTTTATTTTACGATAATATGTATGTATCTCTTTAAATTATTATTCATTTAGAATGTTATTATGTTAATTAATTTAGGATGTTCGTTTTATAATAATATGTATGTATCTCTTTAAATTATTATTAATTTAGAATGCTATTATGTTAATTATATGAAATGTCTTTTTATGATAATAAAATTCTGCTTGAAGTTAAATAATTTAATTTAATTAATTTAGTTATAAGGAATAAACCCTTACTAATATATAATAATTAACTTGTAAATTTTCCCTAGGAGGCACAAACAATAATCCGCTACAGGGGTACGATCAATGTGCTCCCATTCCACCCAGCCATCTTGCCCTTTCTCAAAAGGGCACGATTGGACTCGATTAGGCATTTTAACGGCATCAAAGTTGATCGCCAACTCATCACCGCCCTAGTTGAGAGATGGAGAAAGGAGACCCATTGCTTCAACTTTAGAGAAGGAGAGGCCACCATCACACTAAAGGATGTCGCCATCCTAACCCATCTCCCCATCGACGGCAAACCAGTGTGCGTGAGTGATCATCCCCCCGACGATGTCGACGGTATGCCCGGTTGGGTTCATTTCATCTATAGTGTTTTCGGAGTAAAAGTACCAGTAAAGGGGTGCGTTGATGCGACCGATCGCATGCCACCAATGAGGAAACACCAAGTGTCAATTACTTGGTTGAAGAAGTACTTTAGAGAGCATTACGAGAGTCATCCCCTAACCGAGGAAAGTCCGGAGGATGAGAAGGAGAGATATGCTTGGGTCTATCTCATTGGCATGATCGGAGGAGTGTTCTTCTCCAAAAAAGCAAGCAATCTCCTTAGTTGTGGATGGCTTAGGATCATCCTTGGTAGTTGGGAGGAGATGGGGGGAGTATAGTTGGGCATCCGCTTGCCTAGCTAATATCTACCACAACTTGTGCAATGCCCTTCAACTGTCGATGGTCTTGGGAAGTTATGGATGACACACATGTGTGTGTGTTCACCGCACGAGTTATGACCCAGTGGCCGTGTCTCTTGCTGTTGATGGCCCGAATCCTAACATTGCACCCCTCGTGATGATTACGGCATCTGACTATGAGCCTTTTAGTGTTGGAATGAGTTGTGTGCCATTCAAAATGTCGGGTCATTGCTTCTGTCTCAATGGCGTGACGCACCTCCTTCTTCGAGCCAAATTGTTGGCCCTTCATAAACCCAGTGAGTAGACCCCATATTGGGACCTCTGGCGGCTCCATGTCGCTGTCGACCATCCAATTGTTGTCTGGAATGTGATTGTAGTAGGGGACTGGTACACGGTCACGAGCCCCCTCATCATCATTAGCTGAGTCTGACTCTGGTCCGGAATCATCGGCACCTTCAAGAGGGTCGGAGCTGTCTGCACTGACGTTGTTCTCTCCTTCTTCATCGGAGGGGTCACTGACTGGTGCTGACATGACATCCTCCATCTGATCTAGCTCATGAAAGGCACCTTCATAAGCTCCATAATGGTAGTTGTGAAAACTACCGCTGCCTGAGAGGAAGTTGTACTGAGGTTGGTTGGGCCGGTCCGGTTGAACTTCTTCTTCATATGATTGATGATGACCTTCACCTTGCTCTTGGTACTGAAAATATGAATGAGGATCATGGTAACTTTGGTAGGGATGATCGCCATATAATTCACCTCCACCATGGATACCAGATGTTTGACCGTGTCCAAAATGACCTCCAACGCCTACGATCGGCTCGGTGTAAACGAACATCTCGGCTTTGGAAAGATTGTTGGACCTCATGAATTCGAGCATGGCGTCTACCTCATCCTGAGTGGTTATGAGATATTCCTCATGCCACAATGTCCCACTTTCTCTGTTTGAATATCGGTACACCATACGATCAACTCTTCTCGTGCCATCCATGCAAGTAACGTTAGTGCACATTTGATGGAGGTCTTCAAGCAGCGGTCTGGTAGCGACCTTTATCTTCTGATAATTGCCACCTATGTAGGTCGCACCCTTTTCGGTCTCTTCCGTGTAACCATTCCACCGTAAGCCAAGCGTGAACTTTTGGAATGCCATCTGCGATTAAACCGTAGTTCAGTTAATATCATAAAAATCAAAAATAAAAAATAACAATAAAAAGTAATACTAAATCAACTTACGAGTTAACGTTAATCGCAAAACTACTAAAGAAATATGTAATACTAAATCAACTTACGAGTTAACGTTAATCGCAAAACTACTAAAGAAATATAGAGCTACATCAACTTACAAGTTAACGTTAATCGCAAAACTACTAAAGAAATATAGAATTACATCAACTTACGAGTTAACGTTAATCTCAAAGCTACTAAAGAAATATAGAGCTACATCAACTTACGAGTTAATGTTAATAGCAAAACTACTAAAGAAATATAGAGCTACAACAGAAAATTGAAAAGGGAAGGGAGAAGGAGAGGTGTGAAGAGAAGTGGTTGTCCGGGAGGCCTTTTATAGGCAAAATCACTGATGAAAACCGCACCTTAGAGGTGCGATTTTCGTCTGCCATGCAGGCCCATGCAGACCCACGTCTGTTACGTCTGCATGGCATGTCGGAAATTGATTGACCAAAACCGCACCTTCAAGGTGCGGTTTGTATGTTAAAATCGCATCCTCACGGTGCGATTTTGTCTGGCAGAAACAAATCGCACCTCGGCCATGCGATTTTAATAGGTCAGACCTAAAATCGCACCTCGGCCATGCGATTTCAGTAGGTCAGAGGTAAATCGCTTGGCTAAAGTGTGATTTAAGTCCAGATAATTGGAACGCACCTTACCAGTGCGATCTATTTGTAAAACGCACTCTTAGGGTGCGATTTATATATAAAACGCATCTACAAGGTGCGTTCTATTAAAAAGGGTGCTATTAGTGTAATTTTTTACGGATGGATGCTATTTTTATAAGTTTTTTTTAAAGATGCTATTTCTGGAAAAATCCCTCCTTAATCACTTTATCCTAGGCCTTCAGTATACTGGTTGGCTGAATTAGCTCACAATGCCTCGTTGTCCATCTATCTATACATTACTGTCAGAAATTAGAAGTCTCGTCAAAACGTTCCAGCCTCAAGTTTGCCATGCTGCCAGACTGTTAACACCATCCCAAAAACCCAAGAAAGGGAATAAAATGCTGAAAAGAAGTGAAGCCCAACTTGCTGTGATGCTTGCCGATTTCACCTTCTCAACTATACTTCACTCATGTTCCTTGTAGTAGAACATTTGCAGAGCAATTTCCAAGTAAGATTCCTAATTTTCACTTGCCATAACAAACACCACTTTGACACTTGCCATTAATTAACCCACTGTGCAAGAGCAAGAGTTTTGGAGCACCCTTTGATCAGCTGCTTGGATTAGATGCGTCCACCACCGATGATCTCGAACTGTTGGCGGCATCCTCGAACATGGCAAGAACCTTATCAACTTCCCTCTGCGCCTCAGCCCTCGATTGTGCTAGTAGCTGTTCATGAACATCCTCTGGTAACTCGGCGAACTGCTTGGCAGCCTCTAATTCCTCTTCGGCTCTCCTAACCGCAGCCTCCTTGTCGTGTTCAGCCTTCACCACGAGGTTCTTGGACGTCTCAGCTTCGACCCTCGCCACTTGCTTCTGCTCAACAGCCTGAGCCACTTGTTCGCCACAAGAAACATCTAAAATCGAGACATCAACTACTAGCACATTGAATCGCTTTGCTCGCTCGACAAGAGAGCCATGAATATCGTCCAACACGCCGCTATTATTCTCCTTGAGGAGAAGCTGATCGACGTCGTAATTGGCGACTATGGTTTGTACCTCGCTGCAGATCGCAGGGAGGGATTTCTCGTCGTAGTCAAGCCCCAAATGGTTGAAGGTCTCCGGCAATTTCGACAACTAGAAATAGGAATTAAAGCAAATTAGGGCTTTTGACTTTGGAGGTAAAATCAAGCAAAATTGGAAGGTTTGGGTGGTACCTCTGGACGGAGAGAAATGGCAAGGGAGAGATTGACGGGCTGGAGATCCTTGGTGTGGGCGAGACAGGAGAATGTATGAGGTTTGTCGCGGATATCGAAGATATAGGGCTTCCGGATCCAGGGAACTGTGTAGTGAGTTCCTTCGCCGATAGAGGTTCCGCTCACTCCGTGCAATCTGTCCAAAATCACGGCTCGATGGCCTGGAGGAACTGTGAATCTCGAGGAGTGGAACGCGGCGGCGGCGGTGGTGGCAGTGCCCACGGCAACCAGGGGGAGGAGGAACTTCCTGGCCGAACTGGTTAAGCGGGACAGCGAGGTTCCAGTGTGCATTGGAAACACCGGCTTGCGAGGGTTTTGGGAGATTTCACGGCGATGGCAGTGGAAAGAGGATGGCGGCGACGGAGGCGGCTGCCCTGTCTGAGTGTCTGTGACTGTCGCATACACTGACTGCGTGGGCTCGATGGAAATCGAGTTCCCAATCCATGGATCTAATTTAGTTGGGCTTATGGTTCCCGTTAGCTTAGAAGAACTGGGCTTATGCCCCATCAAATTTGTGAGGCCCATGATTTTTAGTTATTTATTTCAATTCGAAGAAGAGAAGAATATGCAAATTTTAGTTACTTCTTCTGTTTTTATTCCCAGCGGACACAATTGAGGTTTCATTCTGAAGCTTTCTACACAACACAGCACATGAAATTGGAGGATTATTCAGTATCTGTCAGGTCATCATTATGTGGCGTGGAATTGCTCCCACACCGAGAACTAGCGATTAGCTGATCCAGAGAGCCCTCTAATTCTTCTTCTTCTTCTGATTCTTCACCCCTGTCTCCGCCTACCTGACTCGACAGCAATCGGTAACAGATAATCTCCTGCCGCAAGACTTTATTGAGATCCCACATAGAACTAATCAGCGAATTCACGGCCCCTTTCAGCGCATCCGCATGCTTCATCTTCCCAACCAGCTGCCTTTCCACTCTCCTCAACTCTGCCTCTTTCTCCCCTGCAACTTTCTTCCACGTCGATTCCCTTTCACTCACCCCTCCAGCCTCTTCTTTCTTCCTCGCCTCACCATTGTTCCTCACCTGTTCAAGAACCGCTTCCAGTCCCGACAACTCTCTCTGCTTCGCGACTAGTTCCAATTTGCAACTTTCCAACTCTTCTTTCTTGCTAACCAGGGACAGGGACAGCTCTGCCTCCCTGTCTCTCGATTCCGATAACGATCTAGCCATCTCCTCGAAGTCCACCACGATTCCGCGACTGAACATCTCCATCTTGTTCCACACGGTTGGTTCCGTTACGGGTTTGACCCCGTATTTGGACCAGCCGAAGTAGTCGTTGACCCTGATCCGCTTCACCACGGGGTCGCCCACCGAGAGGAAACAGAGTCCCTCTCTGTTTACGATGAGATAAAACGTCTGGGAATTGGATTTCAGGGTTAGGTCGGCGGCGAGTTGGGTTAACTCGTCACCCTGGATTGTGGTTCCGAAGAGTTCGAGGGCGGTGTACTGTGCGGAATCGCCTATTCTGGCCCGGAATGTCCAGTGGGAAGGAGGGGAAAGGATAGCGTCGAAGGAAGAAGGGTCGTCCTGGCAATCGAACACGCAGATGTCTGGAGAGTTACGGAACGTCCTGATGAAAGAGCCGTTGGAAGTCAAGCTGAACGCTGCCATTTCTTGATAAGTAACGAAGGAGAATTGATACAAAGGGAGGGCAAAAGAGATGTGGGCTTGTAAGCGATCGAGGAGTTATGGGATTGGAGATGAATTGTTCAATCTTTGTCGAGCATAAATATTGCACAAGTTAGAGCTAGGTAGCTAGGAAGTGTGCGTGGAAGTGCAAAAGGAAAGAATAATTAGATGCATAGTATTCCTCAGAAGATGCCAGAGCTTGCCCATGGTGGGAAAGAAAGTAAAGGATCTGTGTGCTAGGCTGCTAGCTAGGAAGCAACAATGTTTTGAGGACATTAATGTGTAGGTGAAGGAAAGGGGAAAATAATTTTGGTTTTCATTTTTTACATTAATACTATGTTTAGCAAATAAAGGTGTAACCACAAAACACATAAAGCAACATGGTATCACAAGTTGTGGCTGATAAGAGATTTGTTGGATATAATGAAATTGATGAATGATCTCGAGTAATGGTGGAGACAAAAATGCATCAGTTATATCCGTAAGTTTATTTGCTTCTGAAACTAGTTTTGATTCTACCAATTGCTACTATAAATATACAAAGAGCATTTTTTGATTGAGCTATATTAAGAACAAGTTTCGAAGTCGAATTCATGATGAGTTTGTTAATGATTGTTTGATGGGATACATTACAAGAGACTCACTTAAGTGTGTAAACTTAGGGGTCGTTTGGATATGGAAATTTGATAACATGGGAATTTGTCCCGATTTCCACGTTTTACAAAACCAATGAATTGACTTGTCGGATTTGAGGGAAATTCCATGTTTGGAAATTTTTATTTGTATGGGATTTGTTGGTGTGGAATTTTGAGAAAGTACAAAAATGCTCTCTTTATTTAAGTACTTAATGGGCAGTTTACTCTAATGATTGTCGTTGAGTTTTCTACTAACTACTAATTGTTGTTACCTAACTACTCATTTGTACTATTAGCAATTAAATGCCCTTTATCAGAGCCGTTCTGGTCTTTCATATAATTAAAATTAGGCCATATAGGTGAAACAATCAACTCCATCTACATAAGCCCATCTACACAATCAACTCAATTAAAATTCTCTCGTGGGGTGGAGCACGGAGAAAGGCTTTTGCCCGATCCTTGCGGCTCACAATCCAAACTCATAGACCTGATTTTCTTGTTTTGCTTGAGCCTCAGATCGGCGGCAACAAGATGAGTCGTAACTCTCCAATCCAAACTCATAGACCTGAACTTTGCAGCAGAGCAATGGAAACAAGATGAGTCGCTACCTGATGCTCCTCGCGAGCTGGCCACCGATTTGCAGGCCTGGAACACTAATGTGTTTGGGAATGTCCAGCAACGTAAATGACGGTTGTTGGGGAGGCTTCGAGGGGTGGAGACAAGGTTGGCAATCACATTCACCCCTGGCCTGAACAAACTCCACGCTAAGTTGGAAGCCGAGCTTGACAAGGTGTTGGAGCAAGAGGAGATCATGTGGTTTCAACGGGCGAGGGAGAAATGGGTCAAGTTTGGCGAGCGATATACTGCCTATTTCCATCAACAGGCCAACATTAAGAGACGACGCAACAAGATCAAAGCCTTGTAGGATTCCAATGGAGAATGGGTAGACGATCCTACTTCATTGGTTGTTTTAGTCTTTGAGACTATTGCTAATCTCTATATGCAGGATAATCCCTCTTATGAAGACAGACTGCCTAAGCACGCCTTTCCTCGCTTGAGCCAGTCCGAGTTACAATGTCTTCTCCGCCCGTTCACAATTCAAGATATCCATAAAGCAGTGTTTGACATGAAGCCCTATCAGGCGCCCGGACCCGACGGCTACCGGCCAGCTTTCTACTAGCAGTTGTGACAGACAGTGGGGAAGATCTTGACTGATATGGCTCTCTCTTTCTTCTCCACCGGCTCCCTGCCAGCAATGGTTCTGGAATCTACACTTGTGCTTATCCCAAAACTGGAAACGCCTGAGATGGTGACGCCGCTTCGACCTATTTCTCTTAACAACGTTAGTCTGAAGGCTATTACAAAGGCCATGACCAACCGGTTGAAACCAGTTATGAGAAAGCTGATTTCCTCAAGACAAAGCAGTTTCATCCCTGGGAGACAGACTATAAATAACATTATTGCGGTTCATGAGATTCTGCACTCTTTCAGGAAGAAGAAGGGAAGAAAGGAGGGATGATCTTCAAGATTGATCTTGAGAAGGCCTATGACAGACTTAGGTGGGATTTTCTTCGAGACACTTTGATGGAAATAGGACTGCCAAGCTCATGGATCAACTGTATTATGTATTGTGTGGAACAGAACCGTATTCGAGTTCTCTGGAACGACTCTCTCTCTCTCAAGCAATCACCCCCAACCCGTGGAGTTCACTAGGGAGATCCCTTATCCCCTTACCTTTTTGTCTTATGTATGGAGGGTCTTTCTCATTTGATTGATAGAGCGATTCTGAATAACCAGTGGAAACCTTTGAAACTTAATCAGAATGGTCTGCCTCTCACGCACCTTTTTTATTTGCAGATGATCTTCTACTTTTTGCATAGGCTGAGTCGAGACAGATCAGGTTCATCAAGTCTTGTTTGGATGACTTTTGCTTTAGCTCGGGGCAAAGGATTAACTACAAAAAGTCTATGGTTCACATATCTCCGAACATCCCCTGATCCAAGGCTGTGGCATTGAGCCAAAGAGCTGATATTCCTCTCAAACCGGACTTAGGGAAATATCTCGGCATCTAGGCCATTCACGGGCGGGTCACGAGGACAAGATACCAAGGTCTGGTTTTGCGTATCTAGAAAAAGCTGGCACCTTAGAAAACTAGAAGTCTCTCGTTGGCTGCCTGTCTCACCGGTTCAGTAACGTCTTCCATTCCTATGTATCACATGAATACTGAATTGATTCTGAGTGCAGTTTGCAAAAGCATAGACAAAATCAATAGAGACTTCATGTGGGGCGAGGAGGAGAATCAACCCAAGATGCACTTGGTGGCTTGGGACAAGATAACTTCACTCAAGACTCAAGGAGAAGCTGGCCTTTGTTCTCTCAGACCAGCGAACCTGGCGATGCTGGCGAAGAATGCATGGCGGCTCATAACAGACAGAGATGCCCTTTGGTCCAAAGTCATGCGGGTGAAGTATGAAAGGCAGAGGGACGGTCTGGACATCCTCAGACCAATTCAGGGAAGTTCATTTATCTGGCAGAGCTTTACTAAAGCTTCTACCCTTGTTCAGAAGGGTTGTGCGTGGAACATTAAGAATGGGAGGAACACTAAATTTTGGCATGATATCTGGTGTCTGCAGGTATCCCTTAAGGAAGTTATTCTAAGCCAGATCCTAGACGATCTTGAAGAGGCCAAGGTAGCAGATTTCGTGGACCAGGATGGTAGATGGAGGACTGATCTCTTCAACATGTTGTTGCGCCAGAGATCCAACACAAAATCACCTCCATTGCGGTTGACACCTTATCAAGTGGGGACGACGAGCTTTTCTGCAAAACCGGCGTACAGTGTGCAAAATGGGCGTACAGCCTGCAAAACCATGAGGCTCAGGATCCGGACGAGAAGTTTTGGAAAACTATTACTCCCGACTCTCAAGAGAATTAGGACGTTCATGTGGACAGTTCTGTTGGGGAGGATTGCTACGAACTCGTTACGTTTTGGTAAGAAATGTGCGATTAATCCCTTATGCTCCAGATGCCAAGGAATACCAGAGACCATAGTGCACATCCTCAGAGAATGCCTGCCGGTGCGCTACTTTTGGAATTGCCAGATTCTGGGGGCTGGGCAGGGGCTTTTTTTCCAGCTTGGATCAGGATGTTTGGCTGCGAGAGAACATTGGTAGGACGATTCTACTGACATGGGTCCCACTTGGGGAACTTTCTTCTGTATTGCAGTATGGCTGATTTGGAA